AATTCAGAGATCTAAAGAGATGGGAAAATTTAAAGTGATTTGGGCTAGTTACAATTCATTTGGAGCAATGGAACTAAAATAGGTATCTTACTTTTCTGTGGTTTTTTTCCCCCTGGAGACAGGTACTCCTTAGGTAGGTCAGGCTGGCCTGGGGCTTCTGATCCTCCTGCCTCAGCCTTCCAAATACTGTGACTACAGGATCATGTCACCCACCTCAAGCTACCTATATTGCTTCTAGTTCATGAAATGAAATAAATTTCCTCAACAGACTTCATTTTTGAAGGTGGGATGTGCCAGTATGTTTTTGAGGGAGAAAAACTTTGTTAATGTACATGAAGACAGAGACAAATGGACATTTATGCTGTGCATATTAGCAGGAACTTATAATCCTAGCTTTGGGGAGACTGAGAAGAAGGATCATAGGTTCTAGGCCAGCCTGGGCTAAATGGCCAGACCCTGCCTCAAAAAAAGTAGGCCATTTTGCTAGGATGGACATTAGCCCTAAAAACAGCTTCAGGACTGCTCTCAGCTCCTGGGTCTGTCTGTGACATAATATGCTGAAGTATCTTCCCTGTTGTGAACCTTGGTGTCTCTTGTGAAAGGCCCATTTGTCTACTCTACCTAACCCCAGAATGCTAGTGAGGAGGGCTCTGAAGACTTTAAGGGCTTGAGCCTATGTGAGGGATTAGCCACTCTATCTCACCACCCTAAGGAAACAACATGAACACAAAAAATGCTTGTCTTCAGCTACCCTCTGCCTTAGCCCTTCAGTGTCAGAGGAGGGGCACAAAAGTATCTACTCTGTTCCATGTGAGCTCCCATCACTAGAAAGCTACTGGAGCCCAGGCTGGGAGAGTGGCATCCCCAAGTCAGTGATGAGGTAGGAAAAGGTAGATGAAGTCTTTTTATATAATTTATTTTTATTTTATGTGCATTGGTGTTTTGCCTACATGTATATCTGTGTGAGGGTGTCATATCTTAGAGTTACAGACAGTTGTGAGCTACCAGGTGGGTACTAGGAATTGAACGCGGGTCTTCTGGAAGAACATCCAGTGCTCTTAACCTCTGAGCCATCTCTCCAGCCCCATAGATGAAGTCTTTTAATACAAACACACACACACACACACACACACACACACACACACACGCCTGTATGTATGTATGTTGTGTGTGTGCCTGATACACTTGGAGGCCAGAAGAGGGGATTGGATCCCCCGGAACTGTAGTTATAGGAGGTTGTGAGTCACTATATGGATGCTGAGAAATGAACCCAGGTCTTCTGCTCTTAACCATCTCTTCCGCCTTCTCAAATGAAGTCTTGGGCAAAATTCATAAGAAGCATATAGTCTCGATAGCATTCTGTTTTTTGTTTCTAAAAACAAGTGTGCATATTGCCATTCACAACTCTGAGAAATAAGAACTATTATTATCTCCATTTTACTGATAAGGATTTAATGACCAGAGAGGGTAAGCTATTTAACTAAAGCCACACATTAATGGTAGAGCTAGTTTCTGAATTCTAAGCTCTGTAACAGCAAAACTCCACTACTCACCTACCCACCCCCCAGACCCAAGGACAACTGTAGATAATATGAGGTTCCTGTAGTGCTGTCCTTCTATTAGCGCATGTAAGACCTAGGAGATAATATTATTATCTTCCTTGTATAGAAGAAAGCTCACCTATATAAAGTCACAAAGTTGCTAAGGGGCAGAAAGGAGATATGCAGCTGGCCATCTGCCTTGGGAACCTCTACCTACTTCCTGACTGTATTTTAGGCTGTTTTAGGTCAGGCGGTGGCGGCTTAAAGGAGACAGTCTCTGAGCTGACTGTTTACAGGCAGCAGGAAAGCTACCCTAAGGCCCTTACAGACTGAATACTGCATGCCTTCCTCCCCCCTAGGAATGCATAGCTGCTGAGCCCACCTTTTAAGAAAGCCTGGCCAAGCAGAATCAAGCTGGCCCTGACAGAGGCAAGGTGCGGGAGTGTAAAAAATGACGTTTCTGGCATCAGAAAAACCTGCCTTAGCTTTGGAAATGCACCCCGTGGCCTTGGGCAACTCACAAGGTTCTCTCCATGTCAGTGTTCCACGACTGAAGACTGTTGGGAGAAGTAAATGAAATGGCTATATAGAAAAGTGAATTATATACTCTAAAGTGCTCTTGAAGACTCGTTTTAATTGTTCCTTGTTCTATAGGGCTAAGTTCTTCTGCCCAGGCTGGGCAGAAGCGGTGTCTAGGAAAGGGCTTTAGAAATGTTAATGCGAGGCGTGAGTGACAGGCCTGGACAATGGAGGAGGGCTCTGTGAATGGGGCAGCCCAGGCCTGGGAGCCAGGCTCCCCACGTGGGAGCTGAGTGGGGGGCGGGGGAGGACGGGAGGACACTGGACCTGGCGGACTGGGAGAGGCTGGAGCTGTCAGCAGTGGGGGGAGTGGAGAAGACTACCTGCTTGGCAGTGGTCTGTGTGGGGTTCCCAGGAGGGAGAGGGTTGTTGAGCGGAGGAGCCCTGGGCCTGGAGCCAGAGGGTACAGACTAGCTCACCTGGGGGTTCAGAGGAAAGAGGTGGGGGACTGCAACGGAGGCCCTGGGAACCCGGCTGACTGGGGGTAGAGAAAGACTGAGGGTTCAGAACTGGGCAACTCTGGGCGGAATGAAGCCTCTGCTGTGGAGGTAGGAAAGGCAAGATGGTGACTAGTTTCCAGACACAGCTGGTTTCTAGATGTCGCTAGGTCCTGAGCCAGTGAATTGACCTGGGAGTCAGCCACGCAGGGCCACGATGCCTTCCAGGCCGTATGCATGTGTGCTCGTGTGTGTGTGTGCGCGTGCGCGCGCGCGTGCACGGGGGGGGGGGGGTGAGCAGGAGAGGGGGTCGGCTCTGTCTTCTTCCCTTCTCTTCAGTCCATCTCTCTCCCTCCTCTTCCCTGGGCCTTCTCCCTTGCCTTCCCCTCCCCCCTTCACCATGAAGGCTGTTTTTGTTCCTCCTCAGGGCCTAGCCCCCGAGGTGTGCAAACAGGAAAGACCTCTCCCCGGGCAGTGAGTAAGGAGGGAAAAATGAGGTGTTGAAAAGATGACAAGTCGCCCTGTCAGAGCTCACCTTGGCAGGGAGCAGGCAGCAAGGGCTGGCGGGTGGTGGTGGGGAGGTCTGCCCTGGAAGACAGCCTACATGTGCCCAGAGCCAGGCAAGCGGATCGGCAACAAGCAGGCACTGTGTATGCGTTTGTTTGGTTTAGAATAGTCCACCCCTCCTATTCCCACCATCAAAGATCCCTTCCCTTCCTTCCCAGTGGGAAGAGCAAGGCCAAGGGGCCAGCGGCTTCGTGTGAGATGGAAGGGGTGGGGGTTGATGGGAAGGGACTGGCAGGAGGCCCACCTCCCTCCTCTAAACCTGCTATCCCACAGCCTCCTGGCTATCCTGCATCAAAGACACCACAAACTCATCGGGAACTGAATTCGTCAAAGCTGCTCTCCACAGTCCTGTATGCTGTCCCTGTGGTGGGCTTCCCGTCTTGGTAAATGACCTCATCATCCAGTCAACCCAGTCCAAAATGCTGGGAGTCAGGCAAGGCTGCTACATATCCCAGTGGGTTCATCTCCCAGTCTGGTCAGTTTGCTTTCAAATCTGTCTCGTCTCTCCCTTTTCATGCCCAACACTATTGTAACTTGCTTCATTCATTCATTCACCCACCCACTCATTCGACCACGGTTTATTCAGCACCTGCCATGTACATCCAATTGGCTCATACTCTCACTGGAGGAGCTGAGCGTACTGGCCTCAAGCAGTGATTTGTTTTAGGCTTTGTGTTGTTTAATTTTTGAGGGTATCCTAGACAGTTGCATTGTGTACAGGTTAGCCTTGAACTTACGGTAATCCTCATGTCTCAGCCTCTCAAATACTGCAATCACAGGCATGTGCTACAGTGTCCAGCTTTCCCGGTGATTTTGGAGCCAGTCTGCCAGGGTTTGGGTTCTCATTCTGCTACTGTGGGGCCTTCGGCTGTAATTCACTTCAACTTCTATGCCTCAGTTTTCTCGTGTGGAGAATGGACACACCTGAGCTCTAAACTCCAGATTAAAAATGTTAATATTTAAAGTGAGAGCTACTCAGTGTTCTATTAGCATTGTTATTTAAAATACCGGAGTTTGGAGGCTGAAGACATGCCTCAGGGGTTAAGAGCACTGACTGCTCTTCCGGAGGACCTGAGTTCAATTCCCAGCACCCACGTGGCAGCTCACGACTGTCTGCAATTACAGATCTAGGGAACCCGACAACCATGTCAAAACACCAATGCACATATAAAAATAAATAACATTTAAAAACCCACAATTTAAAATATGGAGTGTGGCGGGACATGATGATAAATTGACTTACTGATGCCCAGAGGAAGGCCTGCCAGGGAAACAAAAGTTTGCAGCGGGAGGGAGCCCATGGCCACAGGTGCTTACAATCATCTTGTCAGGAAGCCAGCAAGAGCAGTCCTGATTAAGGGGACATTTGCTCTAGGATTCATGCCTGGCTCCATTGCTTCTGACTGAATGACCTTAAGCAAGTCATTTCCCTTCTGATCTTCAGTTTCCTAAGGATGACAGTTAACACATTTGGGAAACTTATTTATCAGGCATCTGTGAAGGTACATTAAAACTGCTTCCTAGAAGCAGAGCTATTTTTAATCTAGTTTCACAGATGAGAAAACTAAGGTACAGAGAGGTCACAGAGCAAGTGAAACATAGCCACTTCCTTGAGGAGCTGCTGTGAAAATTTCAAGGTATGATGTCCACAGAAGTGCTCAGCAGCCTGCCAGCCCACCCAGAGAGAAGCATCTCTTGGCTATGGGCTCCAGCAGACCTTGAGGCAGTACCAGAGAACAGGCCAGAATTCTCTTGGTCAGAAGCAAGCTCAGGCCTGGGCTAGTGGCCAGGGGAACTCAAACCCAAGAGACTGCTGGGGCAGAGAATAGGTCACTTCAGGATTCCTTGGAGCTTCAAAAAGGAAGTACTCAGTAAGTATAGGAAGGAAATGGCTTTATGGAAGGTCTCTTATGGCTGTCAGGGCACTAGGTCCCTAAGTCCTCCTCCCAGACATTCCAGATGTCATTGTCCTGTTTTCCTAATGAGGGAGTTGAGGCTCAATACCTAGGACAACGAGAAAGAAAGCATGCACATAACTGGGAGATCCAGAAGAAAAACCCTCCCATCCAGGCAGAGCCGCAAGGTACTTGTAACAAACCAGTCGCCACTTGTATAGTGACCACAGGCGTCACCTCTGCCACCCCACTGCAGCCAATGAACAAGCTCCACCTCTGCAGAAGCAGCATTGGGTGGACCTGGAGGGTCATTGGATTTGCATATGTGGCCTGAGCCTTCACTGACAATGTTAGCAACAGGACTGGACAGGTCCCACCCTCACTGGCCTAAAAACCTGGGGAGATTCAAAGTTTCCTCTTGGGAACAGAGACCAGCGGGGACTTCTGACTCACCCATTCCCCGATGAGACCTCCGGCCAGCTACTTCCAGCCTGGAGGCCTTGGAGCCTTTCTTCTCTCAGTGCCTGACTGCAAGTGAGGCGCTGATGTGGCAGCCATGTCTAATCAGGCAGGGGCCCCAAGAGACAGAGGCTCCTTCATCTCAGCCTGAGGAGGGGTCAGTCTGGGGCTCGGGGAGGAGCCAGAGGAGACACAGAGCCCATCCAGCCTAGACCAGCCCACATTCCTCAGCTAGTCGGGATGGGGTGAGCATGCTCAGTGCTCAACCGGAAGCCAAGCCCTGCACCAAGGAGCCTTAGCTGCCATCTGTGCCTGCAGACATTGGTGAGCAAAGGCCTCAGCGAACAGTCGATTGCACAGGAAAAAAAATTCTTCATCCTATTTCTTTCCACCTCTCCACCTCGTCATACTCCCTGCCAAAGGGAGCCCTGGCCTCTTGATGTTTTACTTCAGATCGGGGTCAGCCATCTGAATTAGTCTTGCTAAATTATGATGAGGTGTGGGGTCCTTTCACATAGGGGGTGCTTCTTTCTTTTCTCCTGAGACTTGGGCTGCGACAAGGCCAGAGGCAAGAGCTGGGAGAACAGCTTAAGTGCCTGCCCATCCATTATCTCAGTGCATTCAACTCACCCTGTAGGATCCTTGTGCCCTATTTTGTAAATCAGCAAACCGAGACTGAGTGTCCTGTGCCTTGCTCTGGGCTTAGAGATAGCTAGCATTTACATTGTTTCGGGCATGTGTCTTAGATGCAAAAGTCTTTCAACTGCGTCACCCCACTAGAAGCAAAGCTTATCTGCAAGTCCTTCAAAGACAGGATAGCCATTGGTGGCCTGCTCTGCTTCCTTAAGGAGAGTCCAGCCTTGTGAAGGTGACTCAGTATTCCAGCAGCTTTCCGTTAAAAACATTTTTTACTCCCCATCTGTGTGCTGGTTGAGGAGTAGTTAAGAAATGCCCCTTCCCCCAAACACACAGATAATTAAAATGGCTTATAACCCCACCAGTAAAGAGAATCAGCAGCAGCCAACTCAATGGCAGATTTCCTGGTAAACCTGCTCTGGTCATACATAAGGTCCATTTGACAGCCTGAGATCCCAGTGGCCCTTCTAGGCCACCACCCACATTCTAGCCTGTACCCTGTATATTTATGAGTCCAGGTCAGCTGGGTTCCACTTCTCCCTAGGAAGCTCACATGTGCCAACACTTGTGATTTTCTGGGGCCTTGGCCTTGTGGCTGAGAGTGCTTTAATTTTCCCCTTTATCTCCTGACCATGAATTCTCCATCACATTATTGGAGATCAGCTGAGAGAGTCTCTGCCCCAAGATGCAGGGACACGAATACACACTAATCCTATGCTATGCCTTCAGACTTTTGTTCATTCAGTTCCCTTTACCTGAGATCCCGACCCCCTGCCTCCCTTCTTCCTTCTTTTCTGTTTCTGTTATATGTGCATATGATTAAAAGAAATCCCAGAACTCCAGAGGCAGAGGCAGACACAGGGGATCTCTGGGAATTTGATCGCAGCCTGGCCTACGTAGTGAGTTCCAGGCCAGGCAGTGCCTACCTAGTAAGACTCTGTCTCAAAACAGACAAATGAACCAAAACAACCAGCCACTATCACCACTGACCAAAGCAGAAAAAAAAGCCAAAAGCAAATCAAATTGTCAAACATTCCGAAAAGCACGCAGTAAGCTAGAGGTGCAGCTCAGTGGTACAGGTTTGCTTTCCATGCCTTAGGCCCCCAGCAATGCAGAAGGTAAGAAGAGGGGCCATCAAGATGGCTTGGCAGATAAAGGGCCTGCCTCCAAGCCTGACAACCTGAGTTTGATGGGAGAAGAGAATTGACCATCTGACTTCCACCCATGTGCACACAGATGCGCACACAGATGCGCACACACACACACACACACACACACACACACACACACACATACCGATACAAACATAACAAAGTTTGTATAAAGAAAAGGAAGGGTGGGAGGGAGGGAGAGAAGGAGGAAAAGAAAGGAAGGAGACCCAAGCACACTGAAAAGTAAGCATCCTCACTGCCAATCTTGTTCCCAGCTTCTGGTTGTATATCTTTCCAGCAGTACAGCCAGCTAAGCACTGATGCACATAGATCTTTTTGTGAAGTATGATCATTTGTGAATGGCCCACTGCACTGTATCTGACTTTTGTAACTTGCAGACTTCTGGAGACTGATACAGCAGTCTGGAGGGTCTCCCTTGCACTGCATCTAGGCTGTCCAGTAAAGCCTCTGATGGCTTTGCCACAATTTATTTAACTTGGTCCCCAGTGATAGACATTTAAACACTTGCTCATCTTGCAACTACAAACAACACAACAATAAATATTCTTGTACAAACAAACTGTGCTGTTGCTCGTGTAGGATAGATAAATTCCCACTAATGCAATTGCTGGGCCAGTGTGTGGATTTGAAATGTTAATACATCTCATTGAAGTAGCTTTCAAACAAATACAACCAGTTGACAACAGTGAAAGGCCCTTCTCTCCATTTGTCCTTTACTTACTTGATGCCTCCTCAAGCTTGAAAATGACCTCACTTTTGATGTCTGGGAGCACCAGTCCTCCTCCCAGCTTGGCCCATCAGATGCTTTGCCCTCAACAGACTCTGCATTTGCTTCCACTTTCCCGGGGATGTGACTGTCCTGTCTTGAACCCATCTCCTACTCTAGAGCACCAGTTCTTTGAGAACAGGAGTAAGCTCCGTTCATCTCTTGCAGACCCTGTTTGAACACACTACAAGCAGAAGCTGTTGAACTAAACACGGTGATGTTCATCTGTAATCTTGGCACTTAAAAGGCTGAGGCAGGAGGACTGCACTGAGTTTAGACTGCAGTGGCCTTAGCCTGAGCCACAGAGTGGCTTCAGAGCTCTGAAGGAGGCCGGGCATTGGTGGCTCACACCTTTAATCCCAGCACTTGGGAGGCAGAGGCAGGCGGATCTCTGTGAGTTCGAGGCCAGCCTGGTCTACTGAGAAAGTTCCAGGACAGCCTCCAAAACAATACTGAGAAACCCTGTCTCGGAAAACCAAAAAAAAAAAGAAGGAGGAGGAGGAGGAAGAGGAAGAAGAGGAGGAAGAGGAAGAAGAGGAGGAAGAGGAAGAAGAGGAGGAGGAGGAGGAAGAAGAAGAGCCTCTGAAAAAATACCAAAATCCTAGTCTGTGCTGGCTGAACACAAGCAGGCCTTGCTCGGCTCCCCTGCTCCCTAAAGACTGTCAGTGTCCCTGTTTCTGCTTCTCTTAGGGTTAGTTTCCAGCCCTATGTCCTTGTCTCTGTGAGCAGATGCTGTCTACTTGTCCCCAGCTCCTCAGAAGATGCCCTTTAGGTCTTGTTCCTTCTTATCCTGTCACCACAAGAAAGGTGCCCTCAGTCTTTTGCTCCTAAGCTGGATCTGCAGTGTGCAGCTGGCAGATGTCTAAGAGCCTGGCAGCACATAGCACCTGTGACTGGAACTCCTGACGCAGATCAACGAGGTCTAGCTGGGTCACTCTCTCTTCCACAGACATCCAGATTCCTACTGGCTCCTAGCTGCTCTGAGACTAGGGTTGCTGGGGTTAAGACATCCCTGCTGCCCCTCCTCCAGCATCCTTCTGTTCTGGTTGTAGACTGCCACTGGGTTCTGGAGCCAGACTCCCTGGTACTCTCCTTCTGGGATTAACAGAAGGGGCCAGGAAAATTATTGTATGGGAGGGGTTTGGGGTGGCGGGGTCCAGAGAACGTCTTGGCCTAGTGAAGTGGGGAGACAGAAAACTGGAATGGGGGAGTACATGCAGAGTTCACAAAGTGCCAGTCAGAAGATGCAAATGTCGTGGCATTTGGAAAGGTGGATCAGGGACCCCACAATCATCCAGCATACTCCCTTTCTCAGTTTGAGGACGGTCCAAGGTTAGGACATGGTAGGCGAGTGCTATGATCTGCATGGGAGTCTGAGGTTCAACCCAGGCTAGAGAAAAGCCTGCTGAGGCTGCTGGGACATTGAGGCTGAGATACGTTCTTGAGAGCCTGATTGGATGGGGTCACATGACTCCTGCACACACACACACACACACACACACACACACACACACACACCTTGGGAGAGTATTCCAGCCACCCTCCCAGCAAAAATTGCTGAATACTTTCATTGAGCACCACATGCCAGGACTATGGAAATGGCTGAGACATAGCTCTTAACCTGAAGAACTGACACAGGCGAGTCTTCTGCTTGCTGTGTGAGCTTGTTTGAGTTTCATCCCTGGAACCCATAAAAAATGGAAAGAAAGAACTGATATCAGATAGGTGGTGGTATCACACGCCTTTAATCCCAGCACTTGGGAGGCAGAGGCAGGTGGATCTCTGTGAGTTTGAGACCAGCCTGGTCTACAGAATGAGTTCCAGGACAGCCAGAGCTGTTACACGGAGAAACCCTGTCTTGAAAAAAGAAAAAGAACTGACTTGACAAAGTTGTCCTTTGACCTCTACATGTTTTTCACACATGTACACCCCCAAAACACACACATATCATATATACTTTTAAGAAGAGGGTTGGAATTAATGGGTACAAGAACTTTTTTCCAGAAGTGGTACAAGAGACTTCTTAAAGAATACATAGAACTGGGACAGGTATAAGAACATTTCAGTACAGTGGTCCCTAAGCACCTAGGCAAAAAGGTTTTGGTAGAATAGAGGGCTAAAAACAGGATGGTGTCTTTGATCAAAGAAAAGGCTTTGATTATAAAATCTGGGTGCCAGCTGGGGGTGCCACCTCTGAAACTTAGTGTGTTCTCTAGCAAGACATGATAGCTTATGCTGCAAGTTAGTGACCAAACTTTGGGACTATGTATTCCCTATCCAGAAACCAAGGCCAGAAACCATGAAGTATGGTGGGTAGGACCTTCAATTGACACACCAAATAACTTCTCAAAAAATGACTGAGTTTACCAGTCCTGGAATCTCAGCGCTTGGGAGGTGCAGGGAGGAGGTTCACAAGTTGGAGACCCAGTTGGGCTACATAGTGAGTTCCAGGCCAGCCAGAGTTACAAAGTAAGAATATGTCTCAGAAAAAATCTGCTCCATCTCTAGAGGCCCCTGAGGCCTACTGTTCTAGAACTACGGCTCCAGGTGCCAATAATGGATCTGCTATATTTTAAGCAGAAATTGTCTGGGCATTAGCTATTTGATATAGTTTATATTAAAAGGAATACAGCCAAGAAAGTGGGCCTAGGGTGCCAACAGGTGTGCTACTGGGACTCTCTATTACAAATAACAGAAAGCAACTCAGCATCAAAAACATTGTATTGGAAGGAGCAGATCCTGGGTGGCATCATCAAGGAGGCTGGGGAGTCTAAAATGGAGGAACAGAAGAGACCGACCGACAGACACAGCTTCCAGTAGTACTGGTAGCCTGCTGCATCAAGGACCTCACACTACTGTGGCCCCCAAGTGTCACTGCTGCTTCTGCTATCACCACAGCAAATGCTTCTGGACTCCTGGTCCTCACACATCCTTCCTCCCGACTTCAAGGCCTGGGAACAGCGGTGCGATGTCCTTGGATGGCACCCTCCGTGTGAGTCTGAAGCGGCTCAGGGCCGCAGAGGCACAGGTCTGGAGCCTACCCTGACTGCAGCGGTAGGTTTCTCCAGCTAGTAGGGGCCCTCTGGCACTGGCAGCCATCCCCTTTCCTGAACTGACTCATTCTGCCTAAATGGGAAATGTGGGTCACTGTTATGCCATGGGAATGAGAAGATGATCAGTACCCAACAGTGCTCCCAAAATACTTACGTGTGGTACCACTCAGGGCACAGAAAGCATTGGTGGCAAACCACCAGAACCCACCAAGAGTCCTATATTGGGCCAAGACCCAGAAAGAACACAGAAATACTAAAGAGGAATGAAGCTGTAGGTCACAGCCCAAGCAGTTGCAGCAAAAAAAGGGCTGTGGCTTCTCCATGTGCTTCTGCGAAGTGGGAGAAAACCTTTCTGTAAGTGTACATGTGTTTTCTTTATGCTGGCTACCAGTTAGTATCGATGAAAACACAAAGGTACTGTAAAGTGGGGGGGGGGGGGGGCGATTCTATCCAGTGAAAGGTCAATATCCCCCTCTTTACTCCTCTGCCCCAACTCTCTATCCTTCCACAAAAGTTATCTTGTGCCATCAGTCAGATTCGTGGTCACTGAGTTTTTAGAGATTTTTTCATGTGTAGTTTGAATTTAAATTTGATCAGGTTTATTACTTTTCCTTTATGTGTCATTTGTTTGAATGTATGGGTGTGAATCACATGTGTGCTTGGTGCCTGAGATCAGAAGTGGGCATCGGATCCCCTGGAACTGGAGTTAGAGATGATTTTGAACCATCATGTATGTGCTATGAATCAAACCTGAGTCCTTGTTTGACATCTCACTGGCCCTCTAGTTTGGCTTTGTAAGGGTTCACATTAAGCCTCTACATACTGATCTATGCCATGCTTTTCTTTCTTCCTTAATAACATTATATCTTGGACCTCTTTCTCTATCAGCACTTGATAAAACTTGTAACCACTGCATAGTTTTAATTCCATACTACCCAACTATCAAACAATTGGGTAGTTGACTGCTAACTACTAGCAAACTGCTGTCTAACGCAGCTAATTCAGGTGTGTATCAATTGCCTGTCTTCTCACTCCTCTTCTGGACTGAAACTATTTATGATCAGGAAGACAAACAACTGTTTTCCAAGGAACAGAGTATGTTTCTCTGGTGTGTTCATTGACCCATCACTGAATCCCAATGAGGCTGAAGGGCTGAAGACTAACCATGCCCAGGCTTTTTGAGTTATGATGACTCTCCTCCCAAAAACTGTTGGTAGAAATAGAATATCAGTGCAGTCATTCAAGACAGCAATTTGGTCATATCTACTTGGTGAAGATGCTCAAACTATGGCATGCTGATTTTCATTCTTATGTACTTACTACTAGAGTTCAAAGCCATAAAATGCTGGTGAGAAACCAAATATCTACCAAAAGGGTAATATACCAAATACAGAAAAATAACATTGAAAAAAAATCAAGCTGCAAAACAATAGCATACATCCCACAAACTATGTCCATTTTAGAAATAAACCCAGTTGTTTGTGGACACACACACACACACACACACACACACACACACACACACACACAGTGTACATGTCTAGAGATACGGACAAGGAGTTGACACCATTTTCTGGGTAGTGCTTACCTCTGAGGATGAATGAAGGTAAATAAGGTGTGAGGAATTCACTTGGCCTGAGTTTTACTCTAGAGCTGGATTTGAAGCCACATGGCCAACTGTTAAAATGAGTTTGCCCTATGTGGGTAGGTGCTTGGCTGTCCTGCAGCACTCTGTTGGCGTATCCCTATTTGTGTCACTGTTAAGATGTGTAACTGGCATCCATAACTATTTTTAACTCATTTTTACAGTTTCTATTTTCTCAAAGGTGATTTGAACTTGTTCACATCCCCCTACACACTTTGGATTTATTTTTATCATTGTTACTCTGTGGGTTTTTCTCTCATTTTTCTCTCTCCAGTCAATCTTTTCCATACAGAAGGCAATTACACGCCTTATTCGTATTTCTTAAAGAAGTTTTTGGTGTTCTGATGAGTATTTCTAGTGAAAACAGTTTTTCTAGACTTGAGAACACTGAAACATGGTACTTTTGTTGCAAATGCAAGGGATCAATTTACAGTTACCTGGTATCACCATTTCAGACAAAACCCAAATGATGCCATTGTACTGTGTCAAACCAAAAGAAGAACTTTAATAAGCTTTTACACCACTTAATACAGGAACATTAACCCATAACATGCAACCCATGTGATTTTTGTCTTTCCAATGTATTTAACAGATGAACTTGACATCAACAAGGAAGAGAAACATAGTCTACAGAACAAATATGATTTGTTTCAACTTTCAGGTTAAAAATATTATGTTCTTGCTGCAATCTCAAGTAGCATTTAGAAAGTTTAGTTTCCCCTTTCTACCTTCTAAAAGAAAGGATGATTTTTAAATGTAATTGTACGCAACCATTTTCACATTGGAAATAATCACAAGGAATCAACAAGTTTAGTTTAATTGACCGACTGATTTCATTGCCATTGTTAATTTTGAAAGAGGGCTCCTGTGGTACTGTGGGTTTCAGACAGGGAAAATCACCAGGCTAAGAGCAAAGAGCCTTGGCCTTTAGAGTGGGGGAGGGAACATGCAGCGGCACACCGGGCAGGTGCCCGACTTCTGAAGCCAGATGGACACACACGGCTTGTGGAAATAGTGGTGGCACGGGAGCTCCGTTGCCACCTCCCCCTTCACATATTCACTGCAGCAGATGGGACAGCACATTTCCTGGCCCACTGCGCCATGATCTTCGGTGACCAGGATCTCAGGAAGCGCATCGATGCTCTCCTTGCTTGCAGGTGGGTTAGCCACCTCGACGTCAACGGCGAGAGACTCCAGGTGCGCAAGGGCAGTCTCCATCGCCTGAGCCAGGCGCTCTTCGAGAGCCATGTAGGTGAGGAACTGAGGATCCACGTAGGAGATGGCTTCTGCCACTCCCAAGCCATCTGCAAAGCCATCAAACAGGCTCCAGTCCACTTCGAGGTCTTCACTCACACTGGAGTCATCTTCCAGGTTGTTGTTCCCATCCAGCATGAACATCCCAGGCTGCATCAGCTCATGGCTGGACTCGTTATCCCCCTCGCTGCTGCTTTCATTCTCATTGTACCGGAGCCAAGGAATTTCCCCTTCTTCCAGGGAGGCCTGCTCTTCTTCCTGAAGAGACGGCTCCTGCACTTCTGCAGGATAGCCACTGCCATCGCTGCCAACACTGGTACTGGCAAGGCTCCCAGCTCCGCTTCCGTGAACACTTCCGTGAGCTTGCTGAGGTTCTCGTTCTTCCTTTCCTGGCAGAGGCTCCCAGCTTTCCCCACTGGAAGACTGGGGTTGTTCCCGACTTCGATACTTCCGGCGCAGAGCAGCCATCCATTCTTTGTCGCTGTCAGAGTCGTCTTCATAGTATCTGTAGTAGTCATCAGTGTATGCCCAGAAGTCAGAGTCAGCCATGGTGCGTCGCCGTCTTGACACTTTCTCCGGTTTCACCTGCCCATTCCTGTTATCCTTCTTGTCTTCAGGATACTTGGGCTCAGAGGAGCTGCCTGCACCCTCACCTCGGGCTCTTCGTGCTAGGCCCTCTGCATGGGCTTCATCAGCATCAGCATCGGCAGCATCTCTCCACCTGGAAGTACTGTGTGGTACATCATCATCATCATCAGTATCAAAAAATATTTTTGGTTTCACGCAGTTTGGAGTCGCCACATTCCGGACTTTTGGTCTCACCACCGGTTCCTCTGCACTCTTTGGGGTGTTTTCCCCCCCACCACAAATACTCACAGGAGCCCTGCTAGGACGTGCTGGTAAATTCTGCCTCTCCCTCTCCAAGCTGTTGTTACCCTTTACAGCTGCCCTGCCCTCGGCAGAAGACATCTGAGAGGCCATGCCGCTTTGCTTCAAGAACTCAGCTCTGCTCACAGAGCACCTTGCAGCAGGAGGGGCTTCTACCTTGCCAAGCTCCTCGTTCACATCATGGTTAACACTAGAGAAGCGAGGAGATCTTGCCCCCTTCTCTGGATCATCCTTAAACTTGCCAGTTTTCCCTCTCACTGGCAGTCTGTCAACAGGCCCAGCCCCCTCCTCCTCACTATCACGTGCCCCCAGAGTGTCAATATGTCCATAAGCCAATCCTCTTCGGTTCCCGGAGGCCCTGTACTCTCTTGGAGGATACCTGGGATAATCGTCATTCTCAACATTCAGGCTGGTTCCAGAGCTCTCACTGTCATTCCAACGACGACGTGTGCTGGCAAATGGTGACCGGCTCCTCTTGGTTTGACTGGGCGTTGATCTGTGCATTGGGACTTTGGATGTTGTCCTTCTCTGGCTGGCAATCCTTTTCTGCTGTCTCGTGGATGGCCTGAAACTGACATAAGCATGTCTCCTTCCATAACTCCTGCCTGCACCAGACCAATACCCTCCTGCTGGTTTGGGCTGAACAGGTTTACTAGATTCCTGACCCATGGCTGACTCACAGTTTCCAACAGAGCTGGGATGCAGGTGCAAAGGCTGTTGCTCCCAGGTCAGAACTACAGAATAAGGAGATCTAGTTTTCCTCCAGTAGGCAGGTAACAGAGGGATAGGGGCCCTTTTACATTAGTTTCACTGTCTTCTAAGGCCTGAGGTAGCATTCCAGTGACTGGTGTAGATCTGGAACACATTTTTAATGTTTGCAAAATGATTACAAGGCTGGATTCAGCAGAAAGCCAGACTTTAGTGGAGAATAAGACAGAATGTGTGTGTGAGAGTATGTGCGTATGTGGAGGGGTGTGACTGAATGCCTGAACGTAGATGTGCTGTGGAAATACGGGAAGAGTAAAGCCTGCTGTGAGCTTGGATTTTCTGGGGGGGAGGGGGATGTGGTTTTCTGAGAACTGCAGACACTGAGAAGAAATACAATTTAGAATAGAGCTGAAAATATAATTCACTGTGTATGCACGCACAAGTGCAGTGTTTGTCAGGAGAGAGACAGGTGGACAGAGAGCCAGCAACCCTGCAATGCAGGGATTTCTGTAGTGGGTAGGTGCTTGTGGCTATGAACGCGACAGGAATGGGTGGGGCAGCTTTAGAGGGGAAGGCTGTAAGTATGACAGAAAGAGAAGGGCCAGCACGCCTGATAAGTGTGGCAGCTGGAACTGTAGAGGGAAGCCTGCATTTCACAGGCAAGGAAGTGAAAGGGTATTAGCAGCAATGAGGAAAGTGTATAAAAGGCAATATGGGAGGCAACGAGGGGCAGAAAAAAAGCACAGAGGAAATATGTGGCGGGTGGAATAGAGGCCAGCAACCAAAGAATGCTGGCCTATGTTAGGATGGCAAACAGGAAAGGGGGCACTGTCCCCAGAGGATTTGTGTGTGGAGGTGCAGTATGGAAGAGACAGAGGAGAAAAGAACATTTGAGAAGAGTGTGTGAGCCAGCTTCCTACGTGTGCATGTATGTAAGGGAAGCAACAGAAGGATGAAGATGTCTTTACGTGTGTGTATATAGCAGACGTGGAGAAGGGAGGCCATTTCTCAGAGAGGGGGTGGAGGAGAGGGAGGGGGAGGAATGAGAGGGACAGGGAGGGAGGGGGGAAGGAGGGAGAATACACACTCAAACACGGGTCAGAGGAGGAGTAGAGGAAAGATTCTAGAGATAGGAGGTAGGTGAGGGGGGGAGGAAGGAACTAGAGGGTGTGCGAGAGGGTGTGTGCTTGCCTGTTTGCGCATGCGCAGAGAAGGAGCTCGCTGAAACCTTGAGGATGCAGGGACAGGGACTAGACTGCAAAGGAGGTTTGTGTGTGCCTCTGTGTGTGCCCGTGTACGCGCACGCGCGTGCGTGCGACACAGAGGAGGGGGTGCAATGTCATAATAAGAGACAGGAATACGTTATTACCTCAAAGGGCAAACCCAAATCAATGTGGCAGACCAAAAGGAAACGGTTTCGTGTACGAACCCTGATTTTTCCCTGAGAATATTGTTTATCTTCTAATAATTATTTTCCTGAGCACATATTCGTGCCTAAAAATCTTAGCCTTGTGCCATTCGACCTAACAGCAGCAAAATGGGGGGGGGGGGGGGGAAGAAAGGCCATGGAGGGCTCTGCAAAGAGGCCAAGAGCATTGCAAGGAGACACAGGTAGGAGTGGCAGAGGGCGGCGACCACCAGACCTCTCTCCGACAGCCATGAAGGCCATTCGGGCAAGGGCCATAAGGCTACGCAGGAACTGGGTAGCAAGGGATGCGGTCCCCAAAGAGGCCGCGGGCCTCGGCATGTGGTCAAGTCCCCTCTGCCCCACCCCGCTCCCAAGACGAACCCGCAAAGGGGTCATTGAGATTCTGCCCATGCCCATCCGGCAAGGCTCGCCCACCCGTCCGGGCTACTACAGCAGACTGCCTTGCACTCACCTTCCTGGCCAGCCGGGCGCTCGGAGCTGCAGAGCTGTAGGACCTTCGGTCGCCACCGCCACCGCCGCTGCTCCGGGTCTCGGCTCCTCCCCCGCTAAAGAGCACTAGGGCAGGCGGGGACTGCGGCGGCGGAAGTGGCCGTGACGTCAGCGCGAGTCCGCCCCCTTGATGTGGCGGGGGCGGCTGCTGCCCTCTGCAAATCCGGGTGGGCTCGAAAGCGCTATTTCCTTTGAAACGCTCAGATTTTACAGGGACACACACAAACAGACAAAGGCAGCGAGAACGGTAACAGCTCTAACAAATGTTAAACATTTGCCACTTTCCCCTCAGTTGCTGGCTTTCTTTAATAAACTGAAATCTGAACATTCTGATTAATTCTAACATGATAATTAATTATAATACTACATCACAACCTATGTTATATGCTATGGTTTGTCTGGTGATATTAAAATCTAAAGCGGTATTTAGAGTTGCAGTAGAAACATTTATTTTAAACCTGGTGTTTGAGGCAAACTGAAGCTGTTGGCAGTGAAATATGGTACTGTCGTCACAAAACCAGGCTTGTCTACGCAAGAGATGGTCGTACATTACATACAACACAGGTTCACATTTTGTGACTTGCACCACATTTTAAAATGTCTCAGATGGCCGAGTGTGGTGGCACTCGAGACGCAGAAGCAGGTAGACCTATAAGTTCAAAGTCAGCCTGGTCTACAAAGCCAGTTCCAGGACAGCCAGGGCTATACAGAAACCCTGTCTCTGAAAAAGAAATTAAACAAAATAAATCACAGATAGGCCCTTCCTGAAGTCTTTAAATTACATGGATAGATACTCAGATCGATAAATGCAGAGTTCCTGAGTTCACAGTAATAGCAAAGATTTGCCCTCAGGAGAAATACAGTGTGTAGTAGAACAAAACAAAAACCCCTCAAGGGTGACAATACAAACAGTATGGGTATTTCACTGTGTGAACCTAAGGGGGCAAAATCCAAAAAAAAAAAAAAAAACCGAGAGGGTGAGCAAGAACAAATGGTGTAGAAAGAGAAAGCAACAAAAGGAGTAAATTCACACATAATAGTGTGTAATATGGACTAGTAACTACATAAAATCAAATTCAGCCTACATGGTGGCTCATGCTTTTGATCCCAGCTCTCCAGAGCGTTTTTTTCCCAGACTAGCCTGGTCTATATAGAGACTTCCAGGTCAGCCAGGGTTTGTTTTATGTATGTAGCTCAGGCTCACTTTGAACTTTCTGTGTTGTCAAGCTTGCACCATTAAAAGTAGAAATGCTAATATACAAATACAGATGTCAAAGTAAAAAGTGTCTAAGAGAACACAATAGTCATTTCAGAAACCGCAAGAGAGAATGATCACACTAAGCAATTCAGTTTCAAAATATATGGAGCCTCTGCTATTAGAAATACAGAGACACCAGGAAGTGGACAATTGTAGCAGAAGTTTTAACCCACACTGTTTATGGTATGGACAGATCAAATGGACTTCTAAATAATTATGGACATAGGAGACTGACCAACACAATCACTAAGCTGGAGCTAATGTATATGCATTTTGGACTTAAGATGATTCATTTTTAAATAAAAGTACTCTATTTTGAACAGGAAAACACAGTATAAAATACATATTTGAATATTTGAATTCATCTGTCATACAGACTAAGCAACTTTCAAGCTTCAGACCTTCTACTTTTGAAACAAGGAAATTACAGCTGAAGCTTTGACACTATCAGATTCCCTTTAACTTCTTTTCTTAAAAACCATTTGAGAGCTTGTATTTCCCTGTTCCTAAATACGTATATTCCTGAACACACTATACGTTATTGTTTCTTTGTTTTAAATTAGGTAAGCCATATCTTCAAATTTCATGAACTATTATCATTAGAAATTTGGCAATGTTGATATGAGTGCTGTTTTAATAATTATCTAACACTCTATAACTAGAATACTCTACAGTAAGGAATTCCATTGCACAAATTATGAAATTTATCTATCTCTTCTCTGTCCTTACTGATGGATTTGGATCATTTCTGTCTAGTGAGATTATGAGAATTCGAGGACCATTTTAATATATGGCTCCTTGTGTCCTCCAGGGTAGTTTTCCACTGGACCTATGGTTGTTTTGCAAGTTCAATATTCTTGACCCTCCAGGAAGTGAGATGAGTCTGACTTCTCCTAGTAGGCTACCCCTGGGGGATATTGCCTCTAGGCTCTAATAGATGCCTGTTTATCCTGATGAGCTGGCCCAAGTGTCAACATTTTTTAACCTGTGCTCTGATGGGGAAAGGGATTTGAAAAATCGCTCTGCTCTGTGTACACACATTTAAGTGGGATTTCTTGGCAAAAAGAAATGTAGTAGTTATCTGGGTGTGGTAGTGTAGTCCTTTAATCCCAGCACCCTGGAGACAGAGGCAGGTGGGTCTTTATGAACTCCAAGCTAGCCAGGATTACTTAGAGAGACCCTGTCTCAAAACAACCAACCAACCAAAAACAAACTAAAAAAGAAATGCAGCAGTTATTTACTGATGAATAACAAATTGTCTCAAACATATAACACTTACCACGACACACATTAATTATGGCACAGTTTCTGTGCACAGAAACTCCAAACATGGTTTAGTCGGTGCATGGGACTTGAGTGTATGAGGACGAACTCAAGCGGTCATACACTCATGCACACTCTCGTTTGCAGGTGCAGTTTCATTTGGGGTGAGGATTCCACATGACAACACAGATGTTATCAGGCCTCAGAAAGTCTATGTCAACTTCTGTGTTGACTGGCAGGTTGTTATTCTTGTCCTGTGTTCACAGGCTTCTTGGTCTCCTCATAGCGTGGCACTGGTGTGGTGCTGGCAGCGGTGGTGGTGGGTGGTGGTGGGTGGTGGTGGGTGGTAGTGGTGGATGTAGGTGTGGGTGTGTAAGAGAGAGAGGGAGAGAGAGACCGAGAGAGAGAAGATAGTAGATACATTCTCTTTTTATGACTTACTCTCTGGAGTGACATCTCATCATTTTTGCTAAGTCCCATTTAATAAAAAGCAAGCCACAGAATCTGCCCTTTTCCTGTATCAATCTGTAGCCACAGTTGTTCATAATTCTCCACTATGATCTACTGCTGTCCATGAGATCAATAATGATACCTCTCCTTTCATTACTGATATGTGTGATTTTTGTTTATTCTCTTATTGAGAGGCTTAATAGTCTTGCTGATAGTTCCAAAGACTGGGGTTTGGGCTTGTTTTCTTTCTTGTTTATCTACTTTCAATTTCATTGCTTTATGATCTACTTTTTATTATATATTTTCTTCTGCTTACCTTGAATTTAATTTTTTCCAACAGTACAGACTTAGGTTTTTGATCTTTCTTACTTTCTAATATGTAATCCAATGCTACAAATTTCCCTCGGAGCACTGTTTTTGCTGCAACCTATGTGTTTTGGTAAATTGCACTCTTTTATTTTCATTTTTCTTAAACTATCTTTTTCAATGCCTAGGACTGAACCCATGCCTGCTGGGAAAATTCTCTGCCATTGAGCCACCCCCAACCCTCAGTCTTTTTTATGTTGAGACTTCTTCTTTGACCCATATGTTATTTAGAAGTTTATTGTTTAATCTCCAAATATTTGGGGATTTTCCAGCTATCGTTCTGTTATTGATTGCTAATTTAATTTCACTGTGGTCTGAGAGCATACTTTGTATGATGTCTATTCTTTTAAATTTGTTACGGCATGTTTTATGGCCCAAGATGTGGTCTATCTTGGTGAATGTTCCACATGAGCTTGGAAAGAATGTGTATTCTGTTTTGTTGGATGGAGTAGTCTATAAATGTCAATTAGATACAGTTGATTGATGGTGCTATTCAGTTCAACTATATTCTTACTGATTTTCTGGCTGGATCTGTCAATTGTTGATAGAAAGGCATAAACTATAATAGTGAATTCATCTATTCCTCCTCTTTGTCCTATAATTTTTTGCTTCATGTATTTTGATACTGTATTGTTAGGCACATATATATGAAGGAGTTTTTTTTATCTTCCAGAAGACTGGATTCTTTTTATCATTAGTTCCCAATTTATCCCCAATAATTTTATTTGTTCTGAAATTTGCTATGCCTTAAATTAACAAAGCTACTATGGCTGCCTTTTGATGGGGATTAGCATGGTTACATATTTCTCCATCTATTTACTTTTAAAAATATTTATTTTTATTATTTTTAATTATGTGTGTTTGTTTCTGTGTATAGGTATGTTCACATGAGTGCAGGTGCCCACAGAGGCCAGGTCAGTTGGATTCCCTAGAGCTGGAGTATCGGGCAGTTGTGAGTCATCTGACAGTGTTGCTGGGAGTTGAATTCCAGTCCTCTGGAATAGCAGTTCATGTTCTTGACCACTGCTAAGCCATCTCACCCACACCTTCCATCTATCTATTTTTAATCTTAGCATTTATCTTTAAAATAAAAATCATGTGGCAATGTATTGTTGGGTCATGTTATTGGTTTGTCATTGTTGGATGGTTGGTTTGTTTTGCAAGGTTGAAGATCAAATTAGGACTTTGCGTATGCCAGGCAAGTATTCTATCACAGGACTACATCCTCAGCCATGCATAGTTCTTGCGATTCTGTCCATTCTATTAGTCTCTACTAATCTATTAAGCAGTGCATTTAGACCCCATTCTAGTGATTATTGATATACTGTAGTTATATTAATATCTACCATATTTGTGACTATTTATTAATTGCTATTGATATTTGCTTTTTTGAGGGGAAAGTATTTTGCTTTTGTAAAGGCCAGTCTGGGTTTGAACTTGTTATCCTCCTGTCTCAGCTCTCCAAGTGCTAGGATTATAAGTGAGTTCCATGCCACTAGACTTTGTCCTCTGTTCCATTTTTGTTTTGCTTTGACCTCCCACTCTTTGCCTGTCTTCTCTGATTTTAACTAAGTACTCTGTATGATTTCACTTTCTCTCTTCTCTTAGTTATACTTATTTTATTTTCTTTAGAGTTTAGCTTGAGATAAACATTTACTTACAACTAACTTTCAAATAAAAGCATAGCACTCCATGAGCAGTGCAGACCCCTTAGAGGAGAATATTTCCACTTCCTCCCTCTGTGCCTTATAATATTCCTACCATCTAT